TTTGATAGTTGAAGGATAATAATTAAATGCTGCCATCTAAAGTGGTTTAGAAATTATACAAGAGCGCTCTGAAGTTTATATGTTACCATTCTCACGTGTTTTTCATTTCATTTTTCAGTGTCTAATTCCTACGGGGGGAGGGGGATGGGAAGCATTGTTTTCAGTATTATGCAAAGATGAGAAAACAGCAGCACCCTTCCAAAGTGGGAAGCTGTAGTTCCATGTACACAGCATTCTGGGCAGGACATTGGCAACTTAATGAGTGCGAAAATATTAGTAACAGTGAAAAGATCTGTTAGTAAGAGTAAATTCAGAAGGTAAAAAAGATGTCAGAGTTAATGTGACTCTAGATGTAGACAGATGAACACCGTAGTCAGAGTTTTGTCAAATATTAGGACAAAAGCTACAAGCTTTATAGTATAGTTATACTTGATGGAGTATGCAGTAGAAGTATAGAAATGTGATTAAGTGTGAGTTTTGTCATTTTCCACAGCTTTATTCACATATTTCTTAACAGGAAGGCAGTATTTTGGGGGCATTATGATCATTGATTGATTTATGTGATATTCAAGACCAACGAATGATGTTTTAGGAGACGAATTTTCAGGGTGTAATATTTTTATATTTTTACAGAAAAAAACCAAAACTGCTACATAACTCCTTTCTGCTGCAATTAAATAATTTTAAAATAAATCTGCCTTATATACACATCAGTCATTTGGTGTCATTTCACTGTAATTTACCCCAAGGGATCTATTAACAAAAACCTGTTACCCTGTCTCAGGGGCAGGTCATAACACTCAAATACAACAATTGCAGCTATTCTAAGCTCAGAGTGTAATTGCATATGGATCACTGTGAACCCTGAGAGCATGGTTGCCAGTGAGAAGGAAAATGTTCTTTTGTGGCTCTATCTTGCAAGTAAATTTTTAAGCAAAATTCTAGATAATTTCAAGACCAAAACCCACTACTTACTCATATGTCTTATAGATATATAACTTTTTTTAATTGTTTGATTCTGTGATTTTTTAATTCAATTTTTAGCACAGATATGTTTTGAATTATCATAGTAATTTTCAATTATCATTTTCAATTTACTTTTCTTTTCAAAAAGGCAATACATTAAGAGGGTTATAAAATAGACTTTTCCTCCTAGGTTTACATTTTATTAGAAAGCTAATGGCAGAGCTCTGATGCCTTGGGGTTCCACAGAGAGCTCTAGCAGCAATCTGTAACTAATAGACACAGTAGTTCAATTTTCTTCTTGAATTTACATAATGATTTTTCTTTTGGTATAAATTAAATCTTGTCATCAACAAATACCACGAAAAATCTCATTTGTACCCGACACAGCACACTGCAAAAGTACAGACTGGTGTAAATATCATGCTACAGTCGTGAATTTTGCAAAATTAGAGGTAATTTCTTGCTATAGTGGTACTTATTGCAAAAACCTAATTGGTTCTGCTTGTACAGTACCCACAGGACTGTGACTGCCTAACAACATAGCTCAATGAAATCTCAGGTTGTCAGGAGATTCAGATTCTCAGAACTTACTTTCTGTTTTCTTATTTTGTGGTTGTTTCTTTTTTCTGGTCAAATAACAAATGACCGTTCAGCTTCCTGCTTTATTCGCAGCAGTTCGAGCACATTGGTTTTGCTTTTAGCTGCTTTTGAATACAGCTTTCAATCTAACCCTGGTATCCCACATTCTCCCTGAGTATTGATGAATGTTTAACTCTCAGTGTTGTCAAGAAGCCTAGCTCTTCCTCAGATTTCCTATCCTTACAGAAAGCACTGTCAAGAGCTTTGCTATGTTAGAACTACAGCCAGGAGATGTAGAACCAGAGCCCAAAGTGTGCTTGATAACATGAGGTTTCACTCTGAAATGGCCCCACTAAGTTTTATGATAACAAGAGGGAAAAAAAACGAAAATTAGTAAAGGCAATAGCATGGCAGAAAATCAATTAGATATATGGTCAACTAGAACTCGACACTGCTTCCAAAATGTTGCAGGTCTTGTTTCTCTAACAGCTGTTCTGTCAGAGTGGCTAACTATCCTGTTCTTCTAATCAAAAGATTTTGATCATTTATAGGCATCAAATTTTATAGAAGTCGTAGCCAAGGTGGTGTCAGAGAAAGTAAAGAGAACAATTGCCAGAAAATGTGGCTTGTGGGGAAAGACTGCAGGAATTGATTGCCTTAACATCATAAAACAAAAAAATCGACTAAAGGATGTAATTGTTTTGACATACAATGATTTTTAGGAAGTGATACTCTATTTGTTTTTTCTATGCTATGGTAGAAGCAGGCCAAGAGGCAGTCTACCAGGAAAAAGAACTTTGCTTCTCCCCTTTTCTCTATTATCTGAAAGGCTAGTTAGTCACTGCAAGGAGGCTATCCTAGAAACTATGAAATCTCCTTCAGTAGATGAGAAGAAAAAAACAGACCAATTTCTATTTTGGAATGGAGTCAAATGATTTTAAGAGCAGATTCACAACAGCCTTTGCTCGATTTGGTGTAGCTAAGATCTGAGTGATAATGCCTAGAGGCTCAGCCTGGTGTAACTGCCTCAACCACTCAAGCCCCATTGCCTTGGGACATCACTGCCATTCTACCTTCCCAGGCCTCTCATCACAGATCTCATCACAATTGATACCACCAGCTCATATTTCTGACCACCCCTGAGACTCAGCTGAGAAGGCAGCCTGGGTAAGCAGGTTTGTGTAAGCCAAAAATACTTGCTAAATTTGTTAAGCCATAAATACTTGTTAGCAAATGTTTGCTCAGAGTTTACAGCTAAATTTGGCTTGTGGAAATATATTATTATGTGATCCCAACATACATAATAAAGACTCAATGCTGTATGGTACAAGCTGTGTTGAAGCTCATGGCGTAGCTCTGGGGTGATTGGCAAGGAAATCTCACCTCCCCTTTCATCAGCAGGTATCCCAGGCTGTGAACTGCAAGTCCTGTTTTATTTTTGCCAGAAGCTGTGCATTTTTGCCCTCCAGTGTCAGAGCAAAAGACACACACACGCGCACACACACACACACACATATATATATGTAAGCATACAAGACACAATGTAAAGTTCCTGTGCCTGGTCACAGAATCATGTTTGTGGTTTAGTGACAGACCGCACTGTATTTATAGCCTCTCTCTTCTTTCTCCTTCCCAGACCCCTTTCTCTGGTGTACCTCTATGATATCTGCTTTTAAATCAAGCTCCTATTCTCAGGCCCATTTAAAGACTACAGATAGGTAAGGTAAGGAAAAAGGATGATCTTAATTCATGAGTGCCCTCTGGGAGCCATGGAAACAACTGAGGAGGAAGGTGGTCAGAGCAGGGGAAGGTGACTGTTGCTGGAAGGAGACCCTAAGCCCCACTTCTCCTCAAGCACTTTCTCCTTCTCCAGGTTTTTTTGTCATCAGAGGAGCACTCTACTAAGCCATCAGCGGGCAGCATCTGGTTGTTGTTTCCCTTTAAGTAACTTCTGGATTTAGATCTGCAAGATCTACTGAAACTACTGTCTTCTATTTCTGCACCTAGATAATGAGGTCTTTAGGGAAAATTGTGAAGAAGATCTAGTCATTACCTTTCTGAAAGAGGAATTCACAGTTGTTTCCCATTTATCTTCCTTTCAATACTGAGGAGAGAGGATCTGCCTGAAGCAGGGTAGCGTTGAGCAGCTGCTGCTCTTCCTTTGCAGAGCTGGGCTTCTGGAAAAGCCATTCACCTCACAATACCTCATGGAAAACGTTTATTTGCAAGATGTACCCCAAACAGTTTTAACTTGTAGGAAAATACAAGTGTATTTCAAAGCGAGGAGAATATTTGTCATATGCTCTCATGGGTACTTGGAAGGCAAGGGTATTTCCCCCTCCAACACCTCTATCGCCATCCTCTCAGGGGATAAAAGAAGACTTATTCCAAATGCTGCTGTCTGCAGACAATGGAAATTGGAGGTTGTAAGTACAGACACAAGTTAATCCGCTTGGGGATGGGGACTTGTTTTGTTTGTAGTCTGTGGTGACTGCAGTGCAGACCTCAGCTTTAGTGTCACTTTGGACTTGCCATTTCTAAGTTTCTCTTTTGAGGTTTGTTTTTTTTTTCATAAGTCTCGAAATTTCTTTGAGACAAAACAGTACCTTATTGCTTTATTCCTGAACTAAGATACCCCTGGACATCATCTTACTGACATGCATGATTAACTTGCAGTTAAATACACTAATGTTAATATCAGATTTTTATGTGTATAAAGTCGTCAGAGTAAGAAACATGAAACTAATAGCTGCATGTACAACATGGCTACTCCTGCTTACAGTGTTTGGTCAGAATTTACCTCGTTTTTCTCACAGGCTGTTTTTCCCAGCCTGGGGTCAAGAAGCCAGTCAGGGAGAAACCCTCCACCTCACACTGTTTCTCTATTAAACACCTTGCGTAGTTCTACAGCTTTTTTTGATGAAATTTGTTTAAACCTCTGCATGAACAGAGAATTGCCAAGCCTTTTCTGGAACCTTCTATGGCTTCATGACTGAGGCTGATTAGAACATCACAAACACCCATTTTCTCTTCTCAAATTCACCAATTAATTCTGAATAAAAAAGTCAAGAGTTTCTTTAGATAATTTTCTCCTTCTCTATACAGTCCTGACTTATTCCTGTAGCCCTATTTGCAGGGCTTTGAGCCACTTTAAACATAAAAAGATAACTATTCTTTGATGTCAACTTAGTTATTCCATAACTTAGATATGTGGTACATAACTCAACAGTCTCTTCCCTTTTGGTGTGGATGGTGACCAATGTAGACCAACCCTTTCCTGCCTTCACTGCATTCATGAGCTGTGAGCAGCAGCTGCTAACCAGCCTCATGTTGGACTGGTCAGTGAACAACACAGATGAGCTCGTGTGTGTGTACTTAGTGCCTCCAGTTTCAGTTCTCTGCAGGCAGCTGCACTTGGAATAAGTCTTCTTTTAATGTCAGGTTTCTGACTTCCTCTGGAATTGCTTTGAAAGGCAAGATACCTTGTTTTCTTTTGTCCATGGAGTTGCCATTTTTTCATGGAAAGATAACAAGAAGAACCTGTGAAGAACTGCTGGCCAAGAAGAGAAAGAATGGTAGCTATTTAATACGAGAGAGCGAGAGTGTGGAAGGAGCCTTGTGTCTGTGTATTTTGTAAGTACTCTAATACTGACTTTTTAATGAGTTTTCAGATGGATCCAAAGGCAACATTCATCTTCTCTAGCACTAATGGTTCTTCTCTGATATTAACAGACTCCAAGGGAGTGTGTATGCATTCAAATAGTGCTGGTCGTCTTAGGCTTCCTTTAGAGTAAGTGGTGAGAGGGTGGAATTTGCAAAAAATATTTTATGTAACAGACAATAAATGAACTGTAATTTGTTGGTGATGGTCTCTCTCTGCAGACAATAAGCAGAGCCCAGAGAAAATAGCTTAGCCTGCCAAAATATGTTAAGAACCTTACTCAAAGTAACTGCCTCTGTAATGATGAGTAAAAAGCATTTTAGCACTGTTAAGAGACTGAAAAGTCTCATGGTGTGTTACAAAACACTTCCTACTCTGTAGAATTTCTCCCTGATGAAAGATCACCCTTGTGTTTCAAAGGAATTTTACCTGAAATAAGAATATAAACTGAGACAGAAAGTTACAAAGTCCGTTTGAATTCATATGACAAATCCACGGACAAGATGGGCATAGAAAATTGCTACTTCTAGTCCTTAACTTTAATTACTACAATTAAAATTTTATTATTTTCTTCTCCTGTAGGGAATAGCACTTTTATTTCCCTGTCAAGAAGGTTGTTTTACACTTCTCATATATAATTGATCTGTTCCTAATGTATTAAATTTTATAAATTAGAATCTAGGTCTTTCTTTCCTTGAACCTGTGAGGTTTTACATTTCCTTGAGGATGTGTTTGAGTGTGACATCAAAAATTTTTAACACCACATCTAATTAATTCAAAAATACAAGAAAATGTTTTGTCAATGACTAAAAATGCATTTCTTATGAAACAAATCAAAGGAGAAGGGAGAAAAAGGGGGAGAAAAACATAGTACTATAGAGTTGGTAGGTAGAAGAGAGGAGGTCTGCACAATGACAGAAAAAAGAGAAGGGAAATAGCAAGTGGGGGACAAAGAGCCCTCAGGGAGGGAGCTATGGGAACCTGCTTTCGCTGTGGTGTGGAATGAGACAATGTAGGGGGTGAGGGGAGGACAAGGAGTGTGGGAGGGAACGGGCTTGCGTACCCTGTCAGAAGGTACAACAGGGACAAATGTCCCCTTTTTTGGGGGGGGGGGGCTTCGTTTGGGTTGGTTTGGGTTGGGCTTTTTTTGTTTGCTTTTTGTTTTGTTAAGGGCAAGGCAGATTTAACTTGTGATATCTTACAGGCATGCTTTGGTCTGTCACAGTGTGATATCTAGGCAGGCGTGCAAAAAAACATGTGACTTCCAGCTTGCCTCTGTGGGTTTTTAGTGTTAAAAACTAACAGAACGTTAGTGTTTAGTGCATTTGACTGTAACTCACACATTAATAAATGCAATAGTTAAACTGAAGGAGTGGCAGCAGTGGTGTAACAGGTGCTGGCTTGCACAGGTAAAAGCAAGGCCTATCTTGAGACAGCACGTGGGATGGTAACAGTGTATTGGCTGAGAATTGCCTCAGAGACTGGACTTCCTGGCAGTGGTTCAATAGTCAGAGGAAAACAGACCCAAAACTGGGGGAAATCAACACTGAAACTCTCAGTGCTGTTTCAAGACAACTTTTGGATTAGAATTGCATCTTGAAACTTTGCTTAGCACCTGACATGGCTGATGCACAAACTGATGCATCTTTCTCAAATTAGCTGATCCCTGGGCAGAGATCCTGATGCAGTTGCAAACAACCTCTGTTATTGGGATATGCGGAGGAGTGCACTTCCATGGAGAATCTGGGAGTCAGAATGGTGGGAACCAATTCAAAAGCATCTCTTCTCTAACAAATCATGGTGCACAGCTCTGCTGATACGTCTTCCTCCACAGCACACTGTCATTTTCATCCAAAACTGTCCCAGGTCTCTGCAAGTGCCTCAGTCAAGATCTACTGCACTTGCCACTGCTCTCCTTATGGTTCAACATCATTCTCCTCTCACCTTGCTTTTCTGCCACTGGATCTCCCCTGTGCCTAGGCCAGGCAATATTAATTTGTACTCTATTACCAGCTCTTGATAAGCATTTAGTAGTTAATGTGGAAACAGAAGTTTCCTTTCTAATGGTAGTTTCATATTTATTTAATAAAAAGTACAGTAGCTAAATAATATCCAGGCAGTAACCTTTTAAAATTTAGATGATCGGTAAAAAAAATGAGTTTTAAAAATTATCAGTTTCTGGTATTTTTTTTTCTCACTTCTCTGACTTTGTTCAAAAAATGAGCACCTACATTCATAAAGTACTCTTAAGCAAGGAACGTGTGGATTTCCACAGGTATATAAAGAAGAAAACATGCATCCTTGTGATACCACTCTTTGAATTAAAATAAATCTATTATAACTGGAAGCCTTCTCCTGATCTCAGTCCAGAGTAACTTTTTTTGCAAAACAAAACAGTTTATTTCAGAGTAACTCTATATTTACGTGCAAGTCCCCTGATACAGGTTTTCACCCTAAGATTCTCCCACTCAAGACAGCTCAATTCACTTAGCCACAGCTAAAGTTCTTTCGATGAACATGCATACCAGTTAAAAGAACTTGTTTTCAGACACTGCTCCCCGCTCCCCAACCCTCTCACTTATTTGTGGTGTACGTCTTTTTGCAACTCTGCTGCCTTTTTTCATCACAGTCACAACCTTGAGTTCACCTCTTGAGTTGCTGCCACCACAGTACTTGATAAAGCTTTAATTTCTGCTGACAAATTACATCCAAAGACATCAGTAGCCTTAGTGTTCAAACACCTGCATATTATTAAAAATAACAGTAATTAAAAACCTGGGAAATACAAAGGAAGAACAATTTTCTTAGAAGTAGGAGCAATGCAGTAATTTTCTAGGTCCTGGTGACTGGAGGCCATTTTCTGCTAACATCTCTCCAAGAATTCAACAGCCTTCTTGTGATAGAATATCAAAATGAAATTCAGGGAGATATCACACTAGAGGAGGATAAGAAGACAGATAAGAGGAGATGATGTCTGTGGAATCAAATTATGCTTATAAAAGGTCTGTGTGTTAGGTTTAGTTCATAAGTTCTTGGAAACTCCTAGTTAGAGTAATCTTGTATTTCAAGATGTTAAACCTTCACTCATTGTGCAATCTCTGTTTTTTTGCAATCTTCTGCTTTGTTTTTCTGCCTCTATCTCATTGAATTTTACTGCACAACTTCTCATATCTGTAATACTATCTCCTGTTTGAAGATATCTCTACTCTTGCGCTTAGTTACAAATGTGGTGTATTATGTATACAACTATGTTTTTCACAGCTTTGAAAACCTTGTCTACACTTACCGTATCTTCAGGGAGCACCAAGGATATTTTAGAATACAGGTGAGTAACTCTCATTATATATCTAGAGATTGCACTAAAAATCTTAGATTTTAAAAATCATAGATTAAAAGATCATTTTAGTCTATGATCATTTGATCTATCATAGATCATAGATTTAAAAAAAAAATACATAAACACAATACCATAGAAAATATTTACCAGTTTGCTTTCTTCTCTACTCATTTCTTGTCTTTTTGATGTTATATATATTATTACATATGAGCTCAAAAGCAGCTACTGTTTTTGTAGAACTTCCTTATAATCTAAGCAGATCTATTATTTATTAACCAGCTGCATTCTGATTTGACTATTTCTTTTTGATAGCACTGAAGAAAAATCTATCACTTTTGTTACTCAATCCTGTTCCTAATTAGCTCTTTCTACTTGAAAGCTCTGCCATCACACACAGCATCTCATAGTGATCTGGAATATTGCAATGATCTTTTTCATTTAAAGGATCTATAATTCTGTATGATTGTGAGGCACCTGAAGTGATGAAGCAGCAGATAATGCTGCTTATTCAAGAAAAGTCAAGTGTAAGAGCAGACTACTGCATCAATCAAATCCTCAGGCAATGTGAGAGGACGTCTATAAAGCTGGCTCCCTATCCTGCATGTAGTAAGACAGCCAAAAGGACTGCCAACAATTAAGTAGCATTTAAGTGGAATGAGGAAATCACTTCATAAAAAACATGCCAAGCTCTCACAGGCTGGTAATTTATTGCTTATTAGTGGTTTTCCACTAATGTATGAAAGATGCAATTTGCCATGAAGAAGAATGGTTTGTTGAAAAAAATAATACGTTTTGGACTACAGCCACGGTAGCAGGGTTTGCTGTCATTTCTATCAGCAGGTAATAACTCAGACACTTTTAGTTTTTTCAAACCCACTTTTCTTTACAAGGTTTAGCCAAGAATGTGAAAGAAGAGTTTTGTTCTTCAAAATTTTAAGTCAGATTGTTTGGGCTTACTAAACTAATGGACTGAAATAATATACTGATGGTGGAGGAGAGATTGTTTGGGGGTTTTTAAAGGCCAGATTCAGCCATGAGCTTTCTAGAGTGCAGTAGTTTGCCCCCATCAGCAGCTAAGCACCCCCACAGCTGCTCATTCCTTGTCCTGCCTAACAGGGGAGGTGGGGGGAAGAGAACATGAAGATCAAAAGTGAGGAAACTCCTGGACCATTTAAATAGGTAAAGCAAAGTTGTGCATGCAAGCAAAGCAAAGATGGAATTTAGTCACCCCTTCCCATCAGGAGGCAGCCACCTCCTAGAAGACAGGACCTCAGCCCACACAGTGTTTACATGAGAAGACAAATGCCATACCACAAACTTCTTCACTTTCCCTGAGCTTTTATTGCTGATCAGAGTGTGGGATGGGATAGGATGGCATAGGATGGGATGCTATGGCATGGGATAGGATAGCACTTTGGCACATTCAGATCTGCTGTCCTTCTGTGTCCCCTCCCAGCATGTTGCACACCCTCAAGCTACTCACTAGGGAAGCAAAATGTGAAAAAAAGAACAATTTGAAGGCTGCATGAGCACTGTTCAGCAACAGCCAAAACATGGGTGTGTTATCCACAGTTTTAGTCACACTTTCAAAACACAGCACTATCCAAGCTTCTTCAAAGAGTGTTAACTCCATCCCAGCCAGATCTAGTACACAGAGACAGTGGTACAAAGTCCATACAGGGCTGAATGGAAGATAAAGGATGCAGAAAACCAAAGAAAATAAAGACATGTTTCTTTGTTAGATGGTGAATTAAGTGAAACCAAAGCCCTGTTCACTTTTAATGAGGATGCTTGCTGTGATTAGAGCTGATTGATGTGCTCACTGTCTGGCCCTGAAGTCACCAGCACTGTAAAGTCTGAGTAAAAATTCCTGTGGGGCTGTGCCATGGAAGCAGTTCAGTCTTGTTGTACGAACCCACAGTTCAAAAGCAGGTTGTGAGAACACTGTTGCTCCCCTAAGGAGTACCACTCTCCATTTTTAGCCTCAGGAGTGTCCAAGGCAAGTTACAAAGCTGGACAGATAATAAACCCCTGCCTGATAGTGAAAGCTGGGGGAGTTCGTATGGATCCTCAGACAAATCTGCCACCACTGCACATGTCCTATACTTGACAGTGCTGACATTTTGTAAAAGTTTGGCTCCTGTTTGTTACATAGTTATTTAAATACAACATTTTAAGTGAGACCTAAATAAGTTATCCCTAAACTTATGCTCTAAGACCAGAGGGGAGTGTGTAATGCTGTCTCTCTTTGGTGCTCTGCTGCAGTGGGTGGCTGCAGCCCACATCTACACCAATATTTTAAATGTATGTTCTTTTTTGATTGCTGCAGCACACATCTACACCAATATTTTAAATGTATGCTCTTTTGGGGGGAAAAAAAAAAAAAAAAGATGAGAGAGGTTACTCTTAGTGCCAAATCAATGCTACCAGACAGGTGTCCCAAGTGTTTTAAGGACAGCACAATATTCTGTCACCAAACTTGTTTACGAACAGGTCCTTGGTAAATAAGAAGCAACCTATAATTCCTTTCATTTAGGGTACTCCATGGGAAGGACAGTCGCAAACAAACTTTGTTGTCTTTTCCTTGCAGACTTCTGAAGGTGTTCCAGAGAGGATCTTCAGAACGTTAAAGGACCTGATATATGCTTTTGAAAAGCCAGACCAAGGACTGATAACAAATCTCCGCTACCCAGTGAAGAAACAGAAGGCCTCGCAAAGAAGCCAGAGGTTCAACTCAGGAATAGACAGCGTTTATAGTGGTGAGAAATTTAGCTCTGCCTTTGTGGGTTTTTTCTAAGATGACAGTTTTGACAGGTTTGTGGTAAATACTTGCTAAATGTCCTCTCATGTGGACAGAAGTTCAACATTCTCCCTTCTCTCTTATGTTCACTGAAAATGGTTATTCTCAGCTCACAGGTTACTTATCTTACTTACCCTCATCCACTACAAATTAACAAATTAAAATTGTGAGATACAGAATCGTGATGTTGCCCACATCTCACTCCCTCATGGGTGTTGACATTTCTAGGCTAGGGAAGACTGAGAACCAGTTTTACCCAATGTGGTTCTGTCGAGGTGCCAGCAGGCCCTTGCACTTCACTGGGACTTGAAGCTGTCCTTTACCTTCATTGTCCAGGTTCTAAGCTATTTTTACATGAAAACCTAACTCAGTTATTTCTGAGACTGGGGGGGAGGGGAGTGAGAAAAAAAAAAAAAGAAAAAAACCCCAGTCATCTTGTGATTTTTATTAAAATACAACTAATTAATAAGCATATAGCCTGGTACTCAGAATCACAGATCTGGAACCAGAGAGTTCAGCCCCTCGTTGATTTTCTTCTGCTAATTTATGCTCATGAGTCCCAGGTGTAAGACAGGGATATGATATTTCTACATGACAGAATTATGGAAATAGATGCAATAAAGATGCAGGTTTTAATAAAACTTTAGAATGTTTTATAGCCCCATGTCAATCCAAACAGCCTTGTTTTGGGAGGAATGACTGGACATGCTATTGGTAACTTGCCAGCAACCCTCACGCACCTCTGAAAGCCACTCTTCATGTTACTGCTGTGCTGTGCTCAGCTCCAGCATCCATCAGGCCACAGGCTGAAAAATAACCCTGAAACTGTTCAGTGTCCTCTGACTGAGTGTGACAAGAGTCAAAGTGAGGGAACACGTGAGCAAGGGAAACCCTTTCATTAAGTACCATTATTGTAAAGGAAACTAAACCTTTAGGTCTCCAATCTGCTGTGTGATTTACATCTCACACCTAACAACAGCTCAAGGCAGTGGTGTGGGGCAGCCTCTCTGTGCTGCAGTCACTGCATTTTTTGCACACAACAGCGCTGCAACATTCCTAGTGCTCCCTGAGCCCAACAGACTGAGGGAAAGAGTAGCAGAGAGGTATTTCCCATGTCTTCAACATCACCTTGTCACCTGCATCAGAAGGCAGATAGGTCACACTTGCTCTAAAAATGTTTTTATGGTATCTTACTATTGCTGCTCTGGGGAGATGGAAAATACTGCAGTAGCATGGATATGTTTTCAGGAAAAATCAGGTGTAATACATATTTTATTGTCTGGTCCTGCAACAAGGATTTTTCTAGTAGATGCACAATGCTCTGTTCTGGACTCACAGGGAGGAAAACAAACCCTTTCATTTCACTGTCAAAATATTTGTGGTTGTCCATAAAAATAGAGGCTATTAGAAATAATCCAACTACTTTGGAATTGTTGTTATTCAATTTTAATTTAAATTTCACTTATCCAGCGTTCCAAAATTTCTCCTCAGAACTGCATTATTGTCACATGGTCACAAGGGGAGCTCAGGTTAATGTCACGATGGATCCCTCTGAAACACAGGCACCTCACAACACACCACAGTGCTCCCCAAAGCAAGCACTGTATTTTCCTGTCCCAGTCCCTCATGTTGCACTAGCAGCTGGCTTTGCTGCACATGTGGGACTGAGCACACCAGTGCTACCAGTGGAACACCTCAAGGGACTGGAGTCACAATCCTGGTGGCTGGAGATTTCTGAACTTTGTTTTCTAGCCTAGGAACAGCTAGTCTGAAAGTGGCTTCCTGAAGAGTACTAAGTTTCCATAGTGGAGTTTTGAGTCCCAAGCATAATTTCTGCTTTTTCCCTGGTTTCTCAAAAAACATCATAAATCTGAACAAAGTGTAAGAGAGAAAGGGTTTCTTCAGGCTCTCCTTCCTTGGTTGGGATGAGACCTTTTCTCTTGGGTATTTATTTAGAGAAGAAAGGATGTGTTATGCGATAGTCACAGATATCTGGGCTATTGATCTGATTTATCAAGTATGAATGATTTCCAACATTTCACTGCTTCTCAGGAAAAAGGGGGTCTCACATGGATACAACTGTTTATAACAGAGCTTGATGGCTCAGAAAAGGCAATGCAGGATTTGCCTCTGTGTGGGCTGCTGGCTAACCCAGTCCATAGGACAGGGGGCCTAAACGTTGACCCTGCAACGGCAGAGAGAATACTGAGAAACAAAACTGAGTTACTGATACCTGCCCTGCCACAGGCTGTCCTGCTTACTGTGGCCTTTCAGAAGGGCCACTTGCAATGACAACATCCTTTTTTGTTTTTATCTAATATTTTACAGAAATTGATGACGCCGATTATGTCACTGTCTTACCATGAAGGATCTGTGCCTGACGATTTGGGAAGCTGCCATTTCAGGCTGTGCCACAGGGCAGTGGATCGGCTGGAGAGAGCTGCCAGCTGGGCATCCTCTGTGGATCTTTACCTCTGGAATTACTCTCTTCCTTTTGCAGACTGTCAGAGCAGCTGTATTTTCTCCCATTAGATCCAGTACAAGCTACTATGTATTTTTGCTCAGCAATAAAAGAATTATTTTTTATAACAGACACACACATACATGGAAAGGTATCTGTGTCCAGGTATGTGTCTTCTGGGTTTTTTTAGCTAGAAAACTGTCCAGGATGTCGACTGCTAGAGTGAATATTCTGTTAGAAAGCAGCAATATAAATACAGTAAATGAATGTGCATAAAGCAGTAATTTATGACAGAATTTATATGTGTTGATAAAAATCATAAATGCAAAAACTTCTACTGACATTATAAAATGCTTTAAAACCCCTAAACTCTGCTATTTTGCACATGATTCATGTTACCTCGTTGTATAATTGGATAGTATTTCATCAACATCAAAGAATACTAGTAATAGTCTGTAGTTTGGAATAATCCAAATTAAAACAAAAATGTTAAATCCATGCCATAAAGAATTAATCAACAAAATGAAAATGGTTTGAAATACTTTTAATATTGAGAAATTATTCTGGAAGATTACAAGTGGAGTGCAAATTCTACATGCATGTCAGTATGAATGCATACTAGTGTTTAATAGGTACTGTACATATGAGAATGCTTATTGCATTTAACTTGCTACTGCCATTGGCTCTGTATTATGATATCTATGTGGGGTTTTTTTGTTTTTTAAATATAAAAATTTGCTTTAATACTACCCCTAATTTTAAATATTTAATAAACGCTTTTGTTCTGAAGGTGGTCTGCAACAGCCAAAGCCGGAATTGGAATGTATGCCCTGACTCTCCCAGTCACTAGTACACACTCCCTCACCATTTGAGACAGAGAGGAAGATATTTATAGTGGTTGTGTGTTTAAGATCTTTCACAAATTATTTATGTATTTTAATGGACAATACTAGTCACCTTTTTTTTCTATTATGTTTCTTTCACAAGAAAGAAACTTGTCAAAGGAATATTAGTTCCTTCAGTGCTTAGGAATTAATTCTTTATTTAACAGTGCTAACAGTTTTTGATGCCAGGCTCAACTGGTACTTATAGCATGAAAGAGACAAAAAAATAAGGATATTAATTGACTCTGGCATTGCCAGAAATACTAAAATATGTGTCCAAAACCTTATGAATTGAAAAGAAAGTAGTTGTCCATGAAGAATTGTACTATTGGACTGAAAAAACCCAACCCTTGCTCTGTAGAAGTGCATACACTGATGTGCCTCTTTATTTTCAAAATTGAGCAGACTGTCAGATAGCTGGTTATCACAGGTATCAGACTGAGCAACTGCTGTGCTGAGACACTCCACCTCCAGCAGCTTGGTCTTTAACAGAACACAACACTAGTTTTTCTGAAATCAGTCTCAGCAGTCCCCCACGTGCTCAGTCAGTCTCACTGGTTCAGCCCGGGGAAAAGGCTGAGTGACAAGGATTCCCAGCCTGTGCCTCATGACACTGACTGTGTGATTCCTGATGGCTGGAGAGGGGACAAGGGGCCGGGCTGCGGTGCCTTTTAGCTGGCAGTTGGCAGCCGTGTTTTGGACTTGGATTTACAACCCAATTGCGGCTGCAGCTCCAGGTGCTGCATCTAGGATTGAGGGTGGCTCCAAGCCAACCCTCTGGTCACTTCTCAGGCATTACCTCTGAGGCGGTCAAGTGAAGCACAGAGGATGATAAGGATAAAGGATTTAAAGCAGGAAAAAGAGACGCAGAATGAAATTTACATTACGATTGACACTACATTATTCACCAGTGCTTTATTGCTATATGGCAATGTTTATCCTGTTAACAGTATAAGAAAATGAGGACAACATACACATTCCTGCACACATTTGCAGGCAACACATATAGCAGAAAGCAATCCGTGCACGAGTTGAAAAAACACGGTTGAAAGCTTCACGCAGCAGAGCATCTACTTTCCAACATCCCAACGGGGTGTGTGTGTCCATGGGGCGGGGGGTGTGGGGGTGTGGTTGAGCAGTGAGGGGGCAGACCCTGTTGTACCTGAGGAGTCGAAAGGTATGAGAACCTGGTGTAAGAAATAACACGGTGTAAGGAAGGTATGAACACAGTGTAAGAGAGAACACGGTGTAAGGAAGGTATGAACACAGTGTAAGAGAGAACACGGTATAAGGAAGGT